GGGGTCAAGAGTTTGCCCCTTTCTTTTGCGTTTAGGCGCCATGGCGGCAGTAAATTTTTTATCCAAATCGACTTCCAAGCAGATTACTATAAGAATCTGAAGGATCGAAGAGGAATTTTCCAAATCGATATCCAAGAAGGATTACCTCGGGTAGGGTCCAAACAAGGATCGAAGAGGAATAAGAGGAGTTGAACAAGGTAGAAAGTTTTTACAGGTTGAGCACTAAAAAGTGCTGTTTAAATTTGTTGTAGCTTTAGGTAGTAGTAACACTTCCTTAAGCAAAAAGCAAATAGATCCGCACGGCAAGAGAGCACGATGCGGACTGGCCGTACGCTCCATAATTTGTGCGACGTAGAGGCAGTCTTTTAGCATAAGGTTATTACGAAGCGGTCGGGGTTGAACATTCAGGTCAATTTGCCTCAGAATAGCCTCGCAATCTGACCTTCGCACTGTACACAACCTTTCACCAGCTTCTCGATTGATTCCAATTTCACGCTAGGATAAATACGAGAAAGGTACAGCCAAAACAGCTCGGTGGGTTCAGGGACAATAAGAACTTCGGTAAAGGCATTGTCGCCTGTTACTGCTTTAGAACCACCAACAAGTGGTTTGCTAGTGAGCGCTTCATCGCGGCGCCGTTTTAATGGCGGTTGACGCATGAAGTCAGAGCATGTCGGTGTTGTCAATGCGATTCGTTTCGATAGCTGAGCGATCTGCTGTTCTTGCTCAGTTATTTCCTTCCTAAGCTCAGCGTGTGCGATTTCCTGTCTCTCGGTGATAGACTTAATCACACTGCCAAACGACGAGACGGCAGTTTTGAACCGAGCACATTTCATCAGCTTCGCGCACTCGTTACACATATAAAACAGGTTCGGGATAGTGTGGACAATATTCAGAAAAGCCTTATTCAGCTTTGTGCCGCCGTACTTTAGGTGCAAAATTTCCTGAACTTATACGATGTTTACTGAGCTTCTACAATTTTGGCTGAAATCCTACAAATTTCCTTGTACTTAAAAAAATATCCCTCCAACTGTTAGGTAATTCGATTAAGTGCTACAAAGTTCTCAGAATTGCTATGAAGTTCACTACACTCCTACAACGTTCCCTGAACATTTTTGAATTTAATTGATTTCTGCGAAGTTCCCTGAATTTCTAAGGAATTTACAGATTTATTTTAAGTCTTAAGAAGTTTAGAAGCTTTATGAAGTTATTTTATCTATTAAGTTATTTTAAGTATTAACCTGAAGCTAAAAGAAAAACTTTTAAGAAGCTTCTTTAAATAAACCAAAGTTCTCATAACTTCAACGACGTTTTGCAAACTTCTATAAGATTCCCAGTTCTACATAGTTTTCCCAATTTTTTACAAAACACATTTAAATTAAAAAAAAAAAATCCTAGCTTTACGAAATTCTCTAAATCTTTATTATATTTGTTTAATTTTGTTGGTGTCTTATTAAATTTCTTGGAATTTGTTTGATGTGAATATCTCAAAAGTCGCTGGAAGTAAAAAAAAAAAAACTAAGGTAGTTGAAGAAACCACCCTGAAAATCAACGCAATTTCCAGAATTTCTGCAAAATTCGCTATTTTTTTTAAAGTTAGCTTATTTTCAACAATGTTTGTAGAAGTTCTACAGCCTTATCTGAACTTATTTCTCCAAAATACTCTTAAGTTCTATTTATTTATTAATTTAAGTTCTATGGAGTAATCATACCAACTGTTAGAGGAAACATGAAGGTGCTGGTTGTTTGATGTGTTAGCTTTTATTTACAGAAATCGATGGCTAAAACCATTGTTTACAAAAGCAGTTTCGAACTCATGAAATGCTGATAAAGTCATTTTCTTTCACAATGATTAATGATTAAAGACATATTTATCTGTATGATTATGATCCCTGATTAGTTATTTGTTATTATTATTAATAATTGTGATATGATATGATGGGTTAATGATTATTCTCTAGTTCTCACGATTAAGATCCAATCTCTAGAAAATATTGAATTTGACGTGAATACTTTTGAAACAATGGATTCAAACTTCAAATTACTGAAAAACTCACAGGCTGATAGCTCGCTCACGCACACTGGGGCAAAATGGTATTTATGTAAGACAAAAATGTACCAACGCATGCTAGATGCTTCGTGTCTTCAGGAAAATTGGTCAGGTGGATTTCACATTCTTAATTTAGTTCTACATCAAGCCGTTCAGATAGCAAATCTTCTGAATACGTCAAAATTTACAGCCTGGGAATGAGATAATCGAAAATATTGGTGCATTCCTCGAAAAAAAAATTCTATCAATTTAGTATATCTTGATCTCGTCAAAGTTATCAGCATTTCCTGTGAAATACCTACTTCATTTGATAATTAGAATTTATGTAAAATACATCTAAAAATCATGCAAACTTCTGTGCCTCTAAAATCTAAAAGCAGCAAAAGGAAACAGTTCGTTTTTGGCTCACATGTTATTCAATGCATATAGATTACTATTCTGATATGTACGATCACAGCAAGGGTATTTAATAAAAAAAATTCCTGAATTTTAAACATCTACGAACCGACAATTTATTACTTCTGTCGTTTACCTATATATCGGGAAACAGTTGACGGCTCTTCCCAGTGGCCAGGTTTATTAGATTGCTCATTAGACTGATGCAAAATTTGACTTTTTCGCTCCACAGTGCTTAAATGGTTTCAAATCGGGTCCTGATTAGCCTCCCAAAGTTACAACTCATTTGGTTAGAAACAGACTTCGCACAAGCCATTTGAAGTTTACATGTAAATTACTATGGGAAATCTCAACTTTTTGTTCATTGCCTTCTAGTCTTTTTCCATATTGCGCTGCGAAACAGTTCGATAGCCATTTTTATAGAAAATTTTCTCAGCTACAACTTTGCTGAAGATCGTTTCTATGTAAAACGAGACAGGAAAAAGTTATTAATTATCTAAGAGATTGGTAAACTTATGACATGATCCAGCAGCTGCTCTGTAGGCAACACTGTATTTTGCAGTGTGACATAGTAGCCATGATTTTTGTGTCCTATTCAACGCCCCAGAAACACCAATGTTGCCTGCTGAGCAGTTGATTGAGCATGATCATAAGGCATCAGCTCATTGAACCATTGATAACTTTCGATCCTTGCATTTAATCAAAAAGTGGTCTTCAGCAAAGTTGTAGCTGGAAAAATTTCCTATAAATACAGTTGAAAACTTTTGGAAAAGACCGATATGGTGAATTATTAGATAGACATGAACAAAAATATTGGTTTTACCATAGTAATTCCCATACAAACTTCAAATGGTTTGTGCCATCTCAGTTTCTCACCAAATGGGTTCAAATTTTGAGAGGTTATTCAGGATCCGATTTGGAATCGTTTAAGTATTGTGGAGCGAAAATATCAAATTTTGCATCACTCTATTGCTCATTGTAAAAAGAATTACCCACTTATTTTTAATTATCAAACTTCCCCGAAAGATTCTTCCAAAATCTCAACGGAAGGTTGTTCGAAAATTTCTTCTGACCTCTCCAGACTTTGCCAGGAAGTTTCTTTCGTCTTTTCCCGGGAGCTTTCTTCCTACTTTCCACGTAAGATTCCTCCAACAGCCCTCGAAAGATATATAAATAATTTATAAATAATAAATTCCCACAGCTCCCAAATGTCCTTCTTGCTTCTCCTGAAAGTGTCTTCCAACTTACTTCTGACTTTCTACGGAAAGAATTTTCCGACTTCTCCCAGAAGTTTCTGCTGGTGCCTCCGAAAATTGTTCTCGCTTCCGTCGGAAAATTCTTCTAACATTTCCAAAAAAATGTCGCTGAGCTTCTCGAGGGGGAGGGGGGGTTGATTTTTTCTAAATATCTTACAAGGTGAGCAGTTCCACCAAATGACGAATCTGAAAATTTTGACCTTCTCCGATTTGCATAATTGTGTGTTATGGGCAATCATTCACATTTTTACCAAATTTCGGCCATTTTGGAAGTTTTAATTTTTTTTCAAAATAGTCTCTTTGTAATTTTTTAATTAATTATAGCACAGAAACGCCAGTTCTGATCGAAATGACGTCTGAGATAAGCTCGAAGTGAAAAATAAAGTCTTTTGGTGAAAAATATGTATGGTATTTACAAGCAAACTTTTGGGGTATATTAAACCATGAACACTTTAATATTGACAAAAATCGTTAAACAAGAATTTTTGGTAAAATATTTAAACTTTTTTCTAGTACGCATTTTTATTTAGTTTCTACATAGGAAATAATAATTGAGACATTCTTCACCGTTATCTGTGCAAAATTACATAAAAAAGCTGGTTACCAATTTTTTTAAAATATGACCAAAAGTTGATATTCAACGATTTTTGTCAATTTTCAAGTGTCCATGGTTTTAAATATTCCTAAAGTTTGCAATTTTCATGAGCTTTATATAAGAGATAAATAATAAACATTGAAAATACAAGTTTTGAGATATTTGAGTTATTCACATATTTTTGCAAAATGTGAATGATTGCCCATAACAAATAATTATGCAAACTTTCATGTAAATCGGAGAAAGTCGCGTCAAAAATTTTATTTTTTTATCCTATTTGTTCTGGAACAGGTCTGCTCCCTAATATACGCTTTGAAGATTGTTCGCATTGTACTTATTTTTAAGAATATACAAAGGATAAATTTTCCGTGGAAATAGACATATGGGCAGTACGATAAATTACATCCACTCTAGTGATGTGAGGAAGATGAAACGTAGCTAACGTTTATATTTAAGCTTGGCACATGGCTGAAGCTGCACCATGGCAGGTGCGGTGTAATTCATCCGCGAGAGGATCTCTCACCACTGAGAATCCTTATGCGAGGAGAGCAAGGATCAACATTCTCTTCCACATCCTGACGTCTCTCTACAAAACAAGGATCTCTCATTGCAACACAGGCACAGACAGACGTCTCCATCTGAAGTAGCATTTATACCTGTTCGCATGGTTGCCACTTCCGCATTGTCGGTTGACGCATCGGGTTGCCCGGTCACGTTTCTTCTTCCGGTGGATGTGTGCGTGTTTTGATTACTCGTTTATGGTTTGGGGGTGGGATTGTTTTCCCTCTAAATGTGTTTGGTAGCGGTTGTGCGTCAGTATACTTCTAGAGATTATCACACTTTCACGTTGGATTACACCGAACGAACCAGGGAAGAGCTTCCAAATTAGGAAGGACTTTCGCGTAGTTGTTTTCCGGTTTCCCGCTCATTTCGGACGGGTATGAGTGTATAATTAAAAATCGGCAGGATACCAGTCAGTGCTCGGATGCCGGCGGGGTTTACTTTTGTAACACCAGTGTTATTTTTGTGATTGATGGCCCTCGCTGGCGATACTAGGCTATCGATAATTTGAGTGGTTGATGGGAAAAAAGTAATTAGGTTTGATTTGCGGAGATCGGCAGGGACTCAAAACGGATTACGGGACTCGTCACTTCACTGTGAGTATTGTGAAAAGTGTGTAAATTAAAACATTAATTAAATGAAGATATGACTTACATATGACTTAAAGCTTAGTGTTTGATAGTATGTGTTCAGATTTCTTATTTAGGTGTATCGTATGTTGAGTTGTTAAGGATATAATCATTTTGTTAAAGAGTCATAGTTTATCCCGAGAGTTGAATATCGATGTAAACACTTTTAGGACCTTTTTTAAGTGATACGGAGTCTGACATGACATGATGAAAGTCACGAGTGAAAATTTAATCTCCGGTTAAGGAACGCATGACATTCTTCACATAGAAGGGTTGTGGTTTCGGTATAAGTGACTCGTATGTGACAAACATTCCATGGTCGGTTTCTTAGCACTGTCTCCATTAGAAAATTTCCAATAAAATGACGGAAGCAGAAAAAATATCGGTTTGCAAAAACTATCAATATTGAGAGTAAAAAATAATATCATTGGCGATTATAATAAGTACCTGTCAGGGCTGGCAAAAACGAGCAAATCTGCGACTAAATTTAATATCTCGGACGGGTATCGATTTCAGTCAATATGTTATATATTTTCTTGAAGCAAAAAGTCTGCTGAATCGGTTGAAGTACGTTTGAATTTAAAAAAAAATGTTTAAAGGATCACGAGATCATTGTGCATTTGTTGTGGAATAAATACATGCCTGGCTCACCGGATAATCTGGATTGACCGTAAAATCGTTCACATCACTTAAACCAACACTTAAACTGTCCTGGGTAGCCGCATATTTTTCTAACTGGTTTAGAAAATTAGAACAAGCCAATAATATTTTGGATTAAAATGGAAATTTGCTTGGTCTGCGGCTAATCCGGTTTTACCGGGTTTTGTATAAACAATCCATTCTCAGTGTCAGCTTAAAATTAGTCATTTATATGTTAGAAATAGAGCTGTGGAGTCGGAATCGGAGTCGCAACGAACTGAGAAATACGAGTCGGTGAAATTGTACCGACTCCGACTCCGACTCCTACAGTTTTATGTGCTAAAACTATGAAATTCATTTTTGTTTTCAAGCATCGGGCTTGAGAAATGGCCATTTATTCTGATTATTTTATGTTGAAATTACGCCACCATCAAATATTGCTGGACCTACGAGAATCATATCGGATGGGAAATTTGGTTTGTGGACTTGCCTTGATCCTGATGGCTTCCAGAGGTTTTCCATTGTGCTTCTCTGCTACTTGAAATTTAGTAATGTGGAATAGTGATTTTTTGCAATAATAATGAAATTCAATTTAATGATAATAACAGCCAATTAGCTTCAAGATGGGGATTTAATATATCAATGTTGATAATTAAATAGATCTAGATGTTTGGATGTCAAATTATTGATAAGTAATGAATAAGATAACAGTGCTAATAAAAATCATTCCTTGTACACTAAATTTAGCTGAAAATAAAGACAACCTTAACAAAAAAAAGACAACCTTAACAACCAACTACCATCTTGAATTTGAATTTTGACATAAACACATTCTCTTGATCAAGGCAACCTCTGAGTATCGAAGTCAACATTTGTTTTTGTTCATTCGTGGCTGGAAGTTTATTATCGCCTGTGTTGTTGTCAATATCAATATTCATCTTCATCTTGGTGGGGCTGATTTTGAGGATCCAATGCAAAATGATTATTTTCATATTACACAAATACAGTGCTGTAGAACGTGTTGTGTTGGTTTTCATACACTGATTGATGGAAAATTATTTCCTCATGCTGAATTTATGATAATATGATAATATCGAGCTCTGGAAGCGACAATATTCAAAATAATCATTTTGCAAAAATGAATTTGATTATTTTGCTTTTGAGGATCGCTTCTGATTTTGACAATATTGGGTTGGATAATCAAGCAGTAGTGAATATCAATAAACACGTATGAACTCATTTCTTTGTTTCGCTCGTACTTCATAGCGAATATATTCAAAACGAACGCAATTCATCTACACTGGGTTGAAGCGCCACTCCTTGTGTGTGACGGTAAATGATAAAAACTGACACTGTAAGATATTTTTAAAATTTAAGATGATTTAGTCTAATAATAATAACAATATATAGTTTTTGATAATGTTTCTAAGTTCAAGTTCGGGTGGTGGTCTAGCTAACGCGATTGAGCCTTCCAAATAAACGAACTAGATAAAAAAGTTCGGGTGGTGTAGTCTGAAACGTGATTGCCTCTCACCGCAAAATGCCTGGGTTCAATCCTAGTCGGCGCAGCCGGGATATTCTGAGGCATAAAATCTCTGATAACGTCTTCTTTCGGAAGGGAAGTAAGGCCGTTGGTCCCCGGTTCATGAGTTGATGGGTAGACTGGCCCATAAAAATAATAGTTCTAATTTTCCACGGGCCAACCCCTTTTTTTGTGCCATTTGGTGAGAAAACCACTCTCTGAAAATTTCAGCTCTTTCGTATGTAACACGAGCTGGCGCTCTTAGTTTGAATTTTGTACACTCTATCGATTTGATTAAGATTTTCAAAACTTGTAGTTCAATTAATGAGTAACAACTTTGCTGAGGATTTCATCATGAATCCAGTCAGTTTTATTGAGATATTCGCTTTTGAATGTATATGAGCATTTTGTTTATGAAAATTTCAACCAAATCTCTTATATGAATATTAAACCAAAAGCGCTAGCCCGTGTAACGTCAAAAAAGCTGAAACATTCAGAGAGTGGTTGTCACACCAAAAGACACGAGCCTGGATGTTGACCTGCGGAAAATATTAACTTTTCTTTTTATTGGTAATCTAGTTGGTACGTTTGCATAAGCTGCCTGTATTTTGTTGCAATATACGGGCAGAATTCACATAATTAATTAATATCTCCATAATACTAACTTGAATCGTGATGTTGTTCAGCAAAGTTGTTCCTTATAGTTTAAGCTACGAGTGCTGACATTCTGAACTTAATCGAGTTTGCTGAACAAGTTCTATGCACGAAATAGTGTAGGAATGTTATTTCTCCATACATTTCAACCTATATACCCATTAAAATTTAAAAGCAAAAGCGCCAGCTCGTGTTACATTCGAATGAGCTGAATTTTTCAGAGAGAGGTTTTCTCACCTAATGGCTCAAATCTAGGGGGGCCCGTTGAAAAAAATTATAAAATATTTCTCCCGTATAAATGTGGGCCAGTCTAGTCGATAGGTAGGGTCCAGGTGTGGGAGCTGTCTCTATGCCGTCGGTATATATAGGTACTCAGTACGGAAACCAAATAAAAAAAAAAGTTCGGGTTCATGTAGGGGAAATGGCTCTAATATTGGCCTATGGATCTAAGATTGGGCCCATCGCTAGAAATTTGCTATTTATCAATTTTAACTAGATGAACGCGTCATTGGGACCAGGCATGGAAAATCATTTGCATTCATTTCATACATTCATTTACATTCATTTGCCTCTAACTTTGTTCATCAACAGCTTTCCGCAAAATTATGTATAAAACTTTTGTAGGTTTTGTTATTAGCTACAACTATTGCTCATAACTCAAATCTTTATCTCTTATGCATCACGAACTAGAGCGGGCAGAACTTGTTACTGTTTTTCAGTGAATGTAAAATACATTCACTGAAAAACAGTACTGGCTTCTGTTTGCTCTGGTTCGTCATGCATACGAGATACGGATTTGACTTTTTAACAAAAGTTGTAGTTAATAATCAAACCTACAAAAGTTCTATAACTCATTTTGCGGAATGCTGTTGAAGAAAAAAGTTAGAGGCAAATGAATGTTAATGAATGCACGAAATGAATGCAAATGATTTTCCATGCCTGATTGGGACGGTACTTATGTGTATTTTTGGTCACTATTAAAAATTTAGTCGATTGCTGAATTTATGTATGGATCCAAATTAGGGCCTTTTAGGCTGAATTTCATCTATCTATTTCTTATTAATTTGGAAATATCGTAATTTTTTCAAAGTTTTCGTATGCAAAAAAAAAAATCTGAATCGAATATTTTTTGTCTGTCTAACATTTGCTGTGGTTGGACACAATCACTTCATGTCTGACATCTCGTTTTATTTACCTTAATCGCAGAATCTTGAAATTTTATTAAAAAAAACCAAATCATGAAAATTTGTAAGATTATTAGATTTTCCAAGTCTTGATTCTTAAAGACCCAAGAATTTTTTTTTATTGGAATCTTAAATTGATTTCTTTCTAAAACTAGTTTGGAAATTTGGCCAAGGCTGAGATCTCCAAAACATGTATAAGTAACTCCTCTCCTCTATTTCCAACAATCTTAAATCATGTAATCTTGTGTAATCTTGAATATTCTTCTTCATCTTAGATTTTCCAAATCGAGGATTATGATTTTTTTCCAACTTGCCAGGTGTTTTTTTGCAATTTAGTCCAAATTCAATCAATAGTTTGATGTTTGAATGTCTGAAATCTCGTCATTTTGTCGTTCCATTTTAATGAAAATGTTTCTGAATTCTGTATCTAGATACAGTGGTGGACATTTTAATAGCACTTTTAATACCATTCAATGTTTATAGTGACAATATGTCTACAAATCTCCTGATTCAGTTTGCATTCAGCTGTGAACAAAGCAGCACTTGTTCCTTGATGTAGATCGCACTATCAATAGTTGTTTACTTGAACACGGTGTCTTGGTGTTTTGGGCAACAATTTCGATAAGTGCGACATAAAACATACTTTGTGTTTTGCCTATCCAAATGCCTCAGCGAGACCTACGAGATTGTAACTTTCGTGAAATCATTGGACGTGAATTCTGTTGACATGATCGTCACATATCGCCTTGCGGAGGAAAAGGCGATCTTCATCAAATTTTTATCTGAAGCAAGTATGCATTATGGCTTGATTTATTATCGGATCTATTAAGTTTAAATTATGCTCATGGAAAGGCTGTGGAAGTAAAAATGTCGCTGGCAACGTGCAATACGATTTGCCACCGGAGCTGTATGATAAGGATCTTTCGTGAAGCATGTCATCCGGGAAAAAATTCCACCAGAGCTTGGCC